AAGTATATGTCCTTTTTCTGAATGCAAACTGAACAATTTTTCACGTACCATAGAGTTCTGCATGTGAGCATCAGCCGAGCCCCCCACGTTTCAGCTATTGAAATTTTTACAAAATCGAGAAAATGCGCAGAAAAATTTTCTTTTAAATGTCAGTCGATGCAAAAATGAACGCTGAACAAAACTAGATACTTGCTGACGTTTGAGTATCACGTAATCAAGGTTTTCTAGGAGATTTCTCGAAAACCTTACCACCAAAATACGCTAACTTTCGGATTTTGACCTATATCCTAGCCTTTTCGCTATTTTAGCGTTCATAGCACTTTGTAATGGCGATCAATAGATAACTATAGACATATGTCTAGACAGACAACTGGGCTAGAGCGAGAGGGGGACAGACGGACAGACAGAGAAAAAGGAAAAAAGAGAGAAGAACAGACGGCACCTGCACTCGCTCGCTAGTTCTCTTTCTGTGCACTAACGGACTACTGTAGTTTCATTTCATTCTTATAAAAAAAATATAAGTTATGTGAAAAAATGACTAATTTACGTTGTCTCCCAAAATTCTCCTTCGGCGATATTGAAAATTACATAAAAGTTAAACTTGATGAAATATGGGGGGCTCGGCTGATGCTCACATGCAGAACTCTATGGTACGTGAAAAATTGTTCAGTTTGCATTCAGAAAAAGGACATATACTTCGAATTACGATCAAGCCCTCAAGAAACACAACTGTCGTAACTTCAAACGTTAAGCACTCGATGGCTAAACATTCAGTTTGTGCAATTTTAATAACGTTCGAGAATAACAGTCTTCCTGGTAGGTAATTTTGTTTTTATGACCTTTGGGAGTTTGTAACTGTTATTTATCAGCAAAAAAAACAACTAAAAGTGGAATTACAACTCGCTGTCAATGCTGATCGAGACCAGGGAGATATGTTAATATCCAGCTCTATAAGCTCTATCCAACGTAAAAGATTTTGCTCAAGTTTTGAATTTTAGGCACGTGCTGATAACAAAATTTAAGAAAAAATCGAGAAACATATCTAGTAAAAGAATATCAGAAAGCTTTCTTTTTTCTAGAATTTTCGAAAAGACATATAATCAAAAGTGTACACTCTTGGTTTAGACGTTCAAAGGTGATCTGATGACTTGGGAAGACTTTGAATGAAGGCATTTAAGTTAGAAATATACCACAATGATCAGTTACTTTTGTCTATGGTAGCTAGAGGTCTAAGCAAGCTTGGAATGCCCAATGAAATCGGATAGGGACGTGAGAGCAGTAACATGAGAGTGAGTTCCTTCCCTTTTATTTCGAATCACAACGAAGAAGGGGCCAATGCTACAATAAGAGCTACAGATTGGAACCACACTAGAAAGTCTCCACTGTCTAGCGGAATGGATGTGTGATCTATATAATATTTTAAAAATGATATCTACTACGTTTACGTGACCTGTTCAACAGAAAATAGCTAAATGAAAAATTCATCTCAGTTGCAATTGCACCAAAATGATTACCAGTCCGTGCTCTACAAACCATGAATGTTTCACAGTGTCAGGAGATACTTCATATAAATGTAGTACATATCGGGTGGAATCACCCATATAAGACCTGCTTCTGGGCTTCTAGCATCCACCGTACCTCAACTTCACTGTTACATCACTACGCACACGTTTTATTCATCAACATTTAACAGCTTTTCACCCCAATGGCAATGCTGCGAATATGACATTATTTCAGTTTCTCCAAGAAACCTTGGATGTTTTGCGCGACTTGAATAATAGCACGGTATGTAGAAGGCAATGCGTGATAATTTGACTAAGCAAAATATTCGTGAACGATGCATACAAAAACTAAGGGATCCAATGTACGGATTAACTAGCTAAACTACTTACATAAAGCATCGCACACAAATTCAGCTGACTTTTGCTTGTTTCCGTCAGTCATAGTAACTAAACGCGTTTCATAGAGCGATTTGAGTACTTGAAACATTTTCCTATTCGATGCCAGGTAAAGGTTCTTCGAAATGTCGTCGGGATCTCTAAGAAATGGCCAAGACATTTTCCTATTTTTGTCAATTTTACTGGCATCAACGTTCTGCGGCATTTTGTCAATCGAACACCGTTTAATGGAAACAAAGTGTGTAAAGAGCTCGAAGACGTCTTAGTCTATTTAGAAATGTTTGCTTTATTTGACTAAGCTGTTTGCTAAAAGTTTTTCGATCGAATCTACAGTACAGGGAAAAGCAACTTTTGGTTTCCTATATGATCTCATTATTAGACATTTTGAAGAAGCTGTACGTCTCATCGGATAGGAAAGTATTTCAGCTTCTCCAATCTCTATTTGGAACTCGGTTAGCTACCATGGCTGATGACAAACGATAAAAAAACAGCAGACGACTGAATCTTTTATAGCGTGGACTTTCTAAAAATAAGTAATCAGTGGAAAGCTCTTCTCCTTTTGAACGCCTTGTTCAGCTTTACGAGAATCAAGACTTTTGTCAAACATGACATCCGGATGTTCAACACTATCGACTGGATCAGCCGAATCCTCCTCATCAAGCAACACTGGATTGAACGCAATTGCGCCCTTTGGAATGAAAGCAGACGCAAAGACCACTGCCAAGATAATAGTCAACTGTATAGCCGCAGTATTAAGGAGTGTCGGTCGCACAGTTCCACTAGAATTATAAACGCCGTCAATATATTTTCCAAGAAGTGGGTTCGCAATTGCATAGATAGTAATATAGGACGAGTAGAGAAATGCCATGACAGCTCCCAGCGCAGAAAAATTGTTATTCTGTGTTTCTATACGAGTCAGGGATGATTAAATGTAAGCAACAAGCGAAACATCACCAGCAGCCCATCAAATGAAATCGGAATAAACGTTGCAGCTATAATCCAAGCATATTTAACATTACCAAAAGGCGGATAATAGTATGGAATATATCAAACAATAAGCAACATCAATGCATGTAATGTTAATCTAAGCAATGCGTTCGTGGATGAGGTTTCGATTCGGTGTGCAGTGTGCTCGCTAAGAAAGAAAGAAGACATCAACTGCACACCTTTTTACCAAATTTTGTATGTATACACAAAATACTCAGCTTTTGTTCCTCCGGTTCGATTATCCGACTCTGTGACGAAAAATTTAGGAACTATTCAAAATGGTATATATAGATACATAAATGAATGTTTTTGAAATATGATCTTCGTTGCCACAAATGATATAAGAGAGACTACACTCAGATAAGCAGAAGTAGCGGCGGTGAATTCGCAGATCGGTGAGTCCGAGTTGCTGGAAAAGGTTTCAATCAAAATATTTATTGATCATTATTTTCTAATTTTAGTCCCGAGGAAATGACTGCCGAAAAAGTTGGACTTACTAAAACATCGGCACTCTTTTCTGCTCAAGAGAAACGAAACATCTTAATCTACATTTTTGGCATCATGCTTTATAAATTTGGATTGGAGGCATTCAACGGAGCCATCATCCCTCTCGCTACGACTCGTTATTGATCAGGATGCTTACAATACCGGAACACCGTCACGTACCTTTGAACGAGTCGGATTACTTTCTGGTCTTAATCAAGCATTTCAATGTGTCGGTTCTATTCTCATTGCTCCTCTTATTAAACGTTGGCCGACGCGAACCGTTTTGTCAGCTTCAATTTTCATTTTCGCAATATTCACGGCAGTTCTTATGATTGTCGATGCTGCTACAGGTGGATCTATAAAGCCAACGAATTTTAAACCGACGCATAAGGACGATTTTAACTATTATGGTAAATATAAAACTGATGGGATTATACCGATTTATTGCATTACTAGTATTGCCTACGGAATGGTCGAATTGACTCGACGAGTGATTTCGAGAGATATCGTTGGTGGTGAGGTTCAAAAGTTGCAAAGAATGGATGGTTTGGTTCATATATTTTATGAAGTTTCGGGTACCACTGGAGCGTTTGCGACCGCTCTTGGTTTGATTCCTCCTTTTGGAAACAATTATGCCTTCATCATTACACCCATCTTCTTTACTGCATCTGGAATCATTTGGTTGTTTGTCAGTTCCCTCGAATTCAAGAAGAATAATCAAAAAGATCAAATTGATTCGGACGAGAAAACATCGAAAACGCATTATTGGAAATCTGTTATTAACAAATTCATTCTCTTCGGACAATCCCTTTATGTTGGCGCAAAAATCTTATTCACTAATCGAAAATTTGTTTGGTTGTGAAGTGGCTATTCGTTGGCGCTTTATGCTCATCGGTATCTCGAAAACGGCATTGCACCACAAGTTGCAAGACGATACCTTGGGAATTCTGAGTGGTCACAAATTATCGTAGGTGGCTCAAACCTTGGCGAATTACTCGGTGCTTTTTTTGTATTTATGTTCACCAATTTGATTAAGACTCCAATGCCATGGTTACGAATAGATGCATTGATGTTGCTTATTGTTTGGTACGGCTTCAATGTGTTCACCTTTTTTTTCTTCTCTTTAGTCCTATGAGCCTTACAGGTAATAGATGTGAAATCGTTTTCTTCTGCTCTATCGCGAAGTAAGCACAATGCATCATGATCGATGGACAAAAGAGTGACAGCAAAAAAGAACCCACGCATGTTCTCGCACGTATCCTTCACAGTAGCATCCACGCAAGAAGAACAAAAGCTGAGTATTTTGTGTATACAT